ACAAAAAAACAAAATGGCGCGTTCGAAACAAAATCCTGTGTTTTTTGGCAATCAGATCTTCCAACAAAGTTAATTCTAAAACTATATCAAACCTCAAGTAAAATTAATATCTAAAAATGAAGATTTTATGAAAGCAGACTTTATGGAGCTATTGTAGCTGTGCGCAGTAATTTTGCTCATATTTTTACTGGATTGTTTAGGTAACGTTCGCTTACAGCAATAGAATGGTTTAACGAGCGAGATCTACAGCTTAAAGAAAATCACTTGGTCGGCAGAAACTCGTTGGTATTTGTCGTGGAACCAAGTAGTTTGTGATGCTGCGTGCTCCAGACACTTTTATGTGTATTTCATGTGATTAGCTACATGACGAACGGAAGCGCCACCTGTCACGGCTAATATAATTAATACGCACTTAAGGTTACTGTTTAATATCGCAATACCATTGCTAGAAGTTCGATGATTAACCGTGAAAAAGCTTGCCAGACAGAGCCGACACCGTACCTATACGTATACTGTGTTATCAAGTTCAAGGACCAAGCAGTTTTCCCACGAGCGACAAAAGTTATGTACGTCGCCTGTGCGTAATCCATGCGGCAAAGATTGGTCAACATTATGGGGGATGAGACGACCGTCCTGTGTGCTGTCCACTTACCAGCACGTGAGAGTCAGATACAGCATACAAGATCAGATATGTCCCCCATACTTACATCAATCTCATGTATCAGACCTAACCTTTGACTGCAAAAATCACGATTTATTCGATTTCCATTTTATTTCCAATGCCAATGGTTTCTTTAGTTGTTGAAGCCAAAGCTATCCCTAGATGAGACCCGTTCCAGTATAGACTATTAGGTGGTATTTTAGTGGCAGCAATAATACAAATACTTTCATCTCCAATTGACAAACTGTGTATCTAAAATGGTATACAACTATGAAAGAACTATGCGATTAGAATGATAATTTCTGTTTAATATAGGGTTCAATTTGAGCAGGTTTTACGACGTTATTTAATGAAGTATATGTTGTTAACTGTGACAGAATACAACGTTTCCTTCAGATGTGTAAGAGTGACAAATTACCACGAATATTGTGAGAGTTCCACACACAACTGACCATTTTGATTTGGTTTGTTTGTGTTTTACGTCCAATTAACAGCTATGGTCATTTAAGAGCATGTCAGATTTTGATGGTAGAGGAGACCGGATTTCCCGGAAAACCCCCCCACGACCAACGGCCAGAACCTGGTAAACTTTCACACATGTTCTTAGAGTGTAGCGCAGGAAATGGTATGACAACCTTCAAATGACCGACCGGAATGGTTGAAGCCGGTTTTAGCTTGATAAATTGACGGTGGTACTACTAAGTACAAAGACAATCTTGGAAATCTTTTATAAACAGTTAATTGAAATTGTAGTGTGGGTGCCTGACACAGCTAACAAAGCGTAATGGGTTTTGTGGTAGATTAGGCAGATCCGTGTTAGTGGTAACACCGACTTAATACTCAAACACGTGCGACACCAACTATATTGCATGTACGCCCTCATAACAGTTAAAGGTTCACCCTGTGTTTACCAATGCACGTTTAATAACTTTAACGATACGGTGGCGTGACTTCACAATTAAATACAAAGTACGGCAATGTTTTGTTTTTCTAAAAAAAAAAGTAACTCAGTCATGAACCTGACAGAGATCAACTACTGGGGACTACCGCTATAGATCAACTACTGGGGACTACCGCTATAGATCAACTACTGGGGACTACTGCTATATATCAACTACTGGGGACTACTATTATAGTTCAACTACTGGGTACTACTGCTATAGTTCAACTACTGGGGACTACTGCTAACGATCAACTACCGGGGACTACTGCTATAGATCAACTACTGGGGACTACTGCTATAGATCAACTACTGGGGACTACTATTATAGTTCAACTACTGGGTACTACTGCTATAGTTCAACTACTGGGGACTACTGCTAAAGATCAGCTACTGGGGACTACTGCTATAGATCAACTACTGGGGACTACTGGGTATATATCAACTACTGGGGACTAATACTATAGATCAGCTACAGGGGACTACTGCTATAGATCAACTACTGGGGACTACTGGGTATATATCAACTACTGGGGACTAATACTATAGATCAACTACTGGGGACTAATACTATAGATCAGCTACTGTGGATTACTGCTATAGAATAACTACTGGGGACTACTGCTATAGAATAACTGCTGGGGACTACTGGGTATATATCAACTACTGGGGACTAATACTATAGATCAACTACTGGGGACTAATACTATAGATCAACTACTGGGGACTACTGCTATAGATCAACCTGGTTTGAAGACAATGGGAAGTAGATATAAACCTGCATGTCATTATTTATAGAGCATCAGAAGGAAACGCTGCAATACTTATTATGTCATATATTTTTTCCATGAAAACACTTGTTTGTGTATGCATTATATCTAAAAAAAACGTCATATGACATCTATTTGAGACAAATATTTCCTTTCCAAAAGAAAGTTTTTAAACAAAATGTCTCCTGTTCATCTACCCATTTGCCATCAATAAAGCAGCAAAAGTGTCGGTAAAACATAGGTATGAACTAGCCAATCGACTTTCATTTTGCGTCACTTTCGTTGTTTAAAATCATGAACTTAGACATGTTGTGGTTTGAAGATTGGCTCCATGTGACCATCCGTTACGGACAGCCATCTGTTATGTACAACTGCTGAATTTAGGGGAAGTCAATTTTGATGAAATCAAGCAAGACTATACTATTTAGTATTACAAAATAAAACTTGGTTAGAGTTGTAATATTTGTGGTCTTTACTTATTTTTAACAAACTAATCAGACAATAATATTTGGCATTTTTGGGTACAGTGTATTTAAGCACGTTCTAGAATATTTAAGCATGCTCCTTACCGTTCTCAGATTATTTGAGAATGGAGACTTAAGAATCTTTCAGACACTATTTCATGATATGCTTAAAGTTAAGAATTGCCAATAAAGTAAAGCACTAAGACCTGGTTTAAGAAGTTTCGTGATTCCGGGGCCTGACACTTATGGACCCGTAGGGCGTTACGTTGTGACGGTTTCTCATTGAAATATCGGGTGACTGTACAGACTGTGACAACAACTGGTGGACAGAACCCTCAAGGGAGACGGCACTCATTTAAACAATAGAAGATGAAGACACATATTCCATATATTGTAAAGTGGCCACCGGACCGATTTAGGTCTTTTCAATACCCTTCAATCAATACCTCAGGATTCGACCTAAAATCTGTCTCTAATGAAAGTTAACTGGGTTACAGTAGCGGTCATCCGATCAATCTGAAAAAACATGGCGGTTCCGCCGAGTTAGTCCTGGGGTAATTCAGATAATTGTAGCGGCGATGTTTTTCGAGCTTAACGTTTTCTAACACAGGTTTTCTGAGCAAAATGAACTGCAAATATGTACAAAAAACTACGGTCAACCAGCAGTACACCTCTATTTTGTACAAAACCCATTCCGGTGACCTAGGACACCCGTACCGTGTTCAAAACACTGTGGTTTGTAATTCCTATTGTGTACAAACCTTTCTGGTCAACCAGTACACCTCTATTGAGTACAAAACTCTAAGGTCAACTGGTACATTTCGATCGGGGTGCACATTCTTCAGGTCAACCAGTACACTCATTGCGTACATAAAACTCTCTCTAACGAGTTAACTCCTATTGTGTACAAAACATTCATCTAATTCACTTTTAGCGTGTACAGACCATTTCAGTCAACCAGTACTTTATTGTTGTGTACAAAACTCTATTAAACACCTATTGTGAACAAAACACTTTGCTTAACTAGAACTCTGTTATTGTGTATACAAAACTGCAGTTAATCAGTAAACTTCTATTGTATACAGTATAATTCGGTGTCCTTAATACACTGTTTTTTACAGTGTACAAACCACCCCGTTTCCATAGTAAAGTCCTACAGGGTGCGAAACACTACGATACACAAGTGCATTGTACACAAAACGCTGTGGCCTACCCATACATTTATATTGTATACAAAAACGATTATACCATTGCGACTAATAATGAAAGCATGCCAAAATATACATAAAGTTCTCCCTGTAAAGTTTAGTGACACACTGTTACAATTACATAGGTGTATCGGATTGTTTGTTATCAACTAGGTTGTGTTGTGACAATGGGGTAGTATATCAGTGTGTTTTTGTAAGATCTGATATGTATTTAATGTTAACAAATATATTGAACGCAATGATGGTATGTACTTAATTATATGGATATATGGATATATACCAAAAAAAACCCATTATCAAAGGAGTTTTATTGAGTGTTGATTATGTACGTGCTTTTGTGTTCGTGTTAAATGTCCGTCCTGGTGTTTTATTTTAAATCGAATTTGGATTGCGGTCTCGCCCCAGTTTGTAGACGCTGCGATACTTTTACACATTTATTTTGTTTTTGTTTTTGTTTGGTTGATTCAATGCATTGTTTACGTCAGATATTTTCTAGTCACGTGATGAGTGCTGCAATGTCATGACATCCGCAATATTGTTGCTTTATAATCGCTTTAAATCTAAGAAAATATGTTATTGCCGGTGATTGGGAGAGAGGTGGGACCAGTTAAGCGGCTCACCAAAGCCTGTTGTTCCAATGCGTTCTGGCCTAGCCAAAAAGGAAATTTACATTAAGTCACCAACATTGATTTGATACATTAAATGTGTATTTAGCTAAGTAGAAGCAGCGTATAACGTTTTGCGTTTGTCACCAATTCTTGCCTGTGGGACGGGCAGAAGATCTCCCGAGAGAGGCCTAGCTTACATGCTTGTGCACCCCGCCTGCATTAATCAATTCCGCACGAATCCAAGACATTTGGGGACACGATGCTGGCAGCAAGGACGGCAACTCGTGGTGTGGCTCGTCAAAGAATGCGTCCACTCCAGTCCCGCAGTCAATCAGTGGCAGCCGGCAATCACAGCTGCGGTAGGAACCAGTAATCAGCAACCGATTTGAAATACATATTCATGTTATAAGATTTCAGGACGACTATTCCCACTGTGCAAGATAGTGGACTAGACGTATAACCAATGAGATGATTGTTCATATAATTTATATTTACGTATATAAATGTGTTGAGAAAACTATCGAGTTGATGATCCGTTGACGCTACGGATTTATCGTTAGCTTCCAGTGTCATACACATGAAAGTGCGCTGCGGACTTTTCTTATTAGCATGAAATGGTCTTCGCTAATGGATTGTGATCCGTTTAATGTAACTCTGTAATTGTGTAACAAAGACCTGCAAAGGAAACCCGATCGAAGTGTTGAATTTACACCACCTCTGAAGCAGGTAGGTAATTATGTTTACATGTGTATAGCACCTGTCTACTGCGTCGTCTGTCACAAAAATAGAACATTTGGTTGCTGATCGTATCAGTGACATTTACTGTTTGGCGCAGTTCAGGGATCATGGGTTTATTGAAAAGAGCTGATTATCTTGATGTGTGAAAGATATCTGGTTATAGATTAGCGTTGTTGATTCGATGTCAGTACAGAGCAGTGACAACATACCAACACGATATACACTATACCTATATAACGCACAAATAGAAAGGAATGGTAACGGACTGAAGCAAACAATATACAAACAAACAAACAATGTACAAACAAACAAACAATATACAAACAAACAAACAATATACAAACAAACAAACAATATACAAACAAACAAACAATATACAAACAAACAAACAATATACAAACAAACAAACAATATACAAACAAACAAACAATATACAAACAAACAAACAATATACAAACAAACAAACAATATACAAACAAACAAACAATATACAAACAAACAAACAATATACAAACAAACAAACAATATACAAACAAACAAACAATATACAAACAAACAAACAATATACAAACAAACAAACAATATACAAACAAACAAACAATATACAAACAAACAAACAATATACAAACAAACAAACAATATACAAACAAACAAACAATATACAAACAAACAAACACACACTAATATTTGCGTACTGTAGTATTGCCTAAGAAATATGACTGCACGTAACCATGCAAACATAGAAACACACAAACAGCTGTGTCTCTAGCGTAGTAACAGACATATGTCTGACGGTATCATAATATCAACACGTTTGTATTCAGTATAACATTATATTGTCTAAGCATCGCGAGGATAGATTATTCAGCGTTTTGTTTACCGTAAAAATATACTTGTGTCTCTCGATTGTATCTATTCAGGTGATTCTCCCTAATTTTCTTGTAATTGTTTATGACAAATTGTTCATAAAATTGGTTTAGTATCTGATCAATTCAACATTTCTTTAAACAGGATAATGGCATAATATATCGACCATCTCTTGTTTTAAACAGGTAACATAACTTTATATACCGATCATTACCTGTTTTGGACAGGTACTTGTAATGTGGCTTGATATACCGACCATCTCTTGTTTTGGACAGGTAACGTGGCTTTATATACCGACCATCTCTTGTTTTGGACAGGTAACGTGGCTTTATATACCTACCATCTCTTGTTTTGGTCAGGTAACGCGGCTTTATATACCTACCATCTCTTGTTTTGGTCAGGTAACGTGGCTTTATATACCTACCATCTCTTGTTTTGGACAGGTAACGCGGCTTTATATACCGACCATCTCTTGTTTTGGACAGGTAACGTGGCTTTATATACCGACCATCTCTTGTTTTGGACAGGTAACGTGGCTTTATATACCGACCATCTCTTGTTTTGGTCAGGTAACATGGCTTTATATACCGACCATCTCTTGTTTTGGTCAGGTAACGTGGCTTTATATACCGACCATCTCTTGTTTTTGGCAGGTAACGTGGCTTTATATACCGACCATCTCTTGTTTTTGGCAGGTAACGTGGAAGCTACTTTGTTGTCTTATTAAATGGTGATTGGTATTTTCTATTTAAAGACATTTTCAGGTTGATAGACGTACACCCTGACACCATATATGTACACTTATAGAAACAGGAATATACATCCGGTACGTGCTTTAGACAAGTCCATTAAAAGATCATAAGGATGGGATAGGTGCAATTTATATTCATCAATGTGATCTATGTGATAATTTTACGGAAAGACGAAAGCAATATATATGTCTACCAGTTTGGACAAAACTATAAAAGTCGCAATATAAACCTGGGAAGCTAGCGGCACATTATTTTTGTCGATGTCATTATCAACTTGAACGTGATAGGACATCAATTAGTAACTATCATTTGAATCGAGTAAAATGTCATTCAACATATTTGTATATCAAATAAACTTCTTGAGAGATAATTTAATATTATTCAAAGAGAAAAGAGCGATTACAAATATTTAGAAAACATTTCCCAAATATTCTTTAAATGTTTTTAACAAAGGTAATGTACACTGTACGACAAATCAGCTGCTCAAGTAGGCTTGCTAGATAAGTAGTAATTCTTCTACAAAATTAGCAATTTGATTGGTTAATCCATACTAAATATTTGGGCCAAGGCGGCCAAGTGGTTATGACATTCTGCTACCACTAGTCCTTCACAACTGGGTCGCGGGTTCGAGACTTACGTGCGGCAGTCGCAAGGTACTGGCCGTAAGTCGGTGGTTTTTCTCCGGGAACACCGGCTTTCCTCCACCCCCACCCCCACCTGGCACGTCCTAAAATGACCATAGCAGTTAATAGGACGTAAAACATACACAAACCAAATCAAAATAGATTAAGTCTCACAGAAATTCTTTGGGACTGTAAACCTAGATTTTTTTATGTTTTTTTTTATGAGGTAATTAAGCAAATTTGAGACAAAAATACAAAAACCAAAATTTTCAGTCGTTACAAAAACAGATTAAATAACAAAATCCATGATTAAATGAACTCCTGCCTTGTGTGATGCACTTTCCCTTCTCTGTAACATCATTGATGTTTGCCAAATGTGACGGAGATAACATAAGGGTGTATAGGTACAAAGGGCAGCTATGACGTGTAAACCTTTGACAATAACGCGTCTTCTAGGTACATATATCGATAACTTCTATTTAGAAGGACGATTCTAATAGCCGTTAGAAACAAAACGCGTGTAAAAGGTCAGCTCCGGAATCCACCATGACTTTTGTAAAATTCTAGCTCTAAAATAAGGAAAACCATCCGGTGTAAGTCGTCAGCTTGTGTAAAGTGATATATACCAAATACACCATTCCTGTGGTAAGTAACGTTTCGTTATATAGAAAAAATAAACATTCATAGCTAGCCTGACCTGAACGTAGCTTGCCCTGAAAATGTAATGCATGAATTTTCTTTTATGATTACTATTTCAAATTGGGAAATTATATCTATTCCCAAACGACCTGTTTTTTTCATTCGTTTTGCCCGTTTAGAATTAATCCATAAGTCTTCACTACTCACGCAAAAGAGAAATTCTCACCAAGAGCTGTAGAATATTCATGTTCCCAGCCAATGTTTAATAGCTTTAATCACATAGCGTAAATTAATGAAAGATAGCTATTCGTAACGAGAAATGTATTCAAAAATGAAATCAAAAATGGATTTTCAGAGGAAATTATTGAGCTGTAGAGAAATAATATCACACCAAATTGGTCTGAAGATATGCCCCACAATTATAACATTCTCGCCATATTCTAACGATATGGCTGAAAACCAATGATATTTACAGAAGTGAATTTCAAACGCACTTTCCTTTAAATCATATCAGAATATTTGTTAATATGTGTTATAAGTGATAAATATTGCTTCCACTCAATATCATTTCCTAAATTGACACAACTTCTTCGTTTGCATCACTTGCCAAAATAATTGGGGATCATGCGAATGTAAAAATAAGTAAGGTTACATTAACTAGGTGTAGAAAGTTCGAACCACAACCCTTCACTCTGACGGTGACGTGGTGTATGACCAATGGAAGTATCTACCGAAGGGAGGCAGCATCATTGTAGCCGTCGACAAGCACACTTACAGTTTGAAATACATCCTCTTCACGTCCTACATTGCCGCTAACAAGACCAAATCACATCACTTGATTGAAATAAAGGACAGGTGAAGTACAGCAAACATCAAATACTTGGTCTCATTTCATTTATTAAGTGAACTTATCTGATGTGTTGTTTATTTTGGTATCAAATTCATGGCAATGAACATTAAACATAAAATCTAGAACTAAGGGAGTTTTTCTTAAAGTGGTTTAGTACATCACATGATAATTTCTAGGATAGTTATTGGATAACTACCCTTGTTCTATTTGGTATAATTAGCATCCGCCCTTGACAACGGGAACTATACCCGGAGACGGGCGCTTTACCTTTATTTTGGACCGCTGAGACTGCGGGAAAAGTAACGTGACGCCAAGAGTTGCGACCCTTCTCCTAGGGAGCGCTGTACATATTCTACTTTCTTTCACTGTTGTCGTCTGCCAAAATGGATTCGAGATTCGGGACCGGGAATGCCGATTGCTTCGCAGAGGCTCAGCAATGCACAAAGACGAAGCAGGCGTCACAGTTTGCCGTCGCAGTCCTTAAAGACTTTCTATAGCTACTGGAAAGGGGGACCGCATGTGACCTAGCGGTGAATAGAACGGTGTTTTGGCGGATTTCTATGCCAATGCATCAAAAAGTTCACTTATTGCCATCAGTCAAGGTTTGCGGCGGCATTTACAAGAACCATCATGTGGCAGAGATTTCGACATTAAATTGTTTGTGCACCTTCTTTCAATTTTAGAAATTGTTCCGTTACAATTAACAACAACTCATGAATCAAAACTTCAAATGTTACGTTCAAATTTCCAGCTGTTGTTAATTATTAAATATGTTTTCAATGAAATTCCTCATGTTTGTCTTTTTATTGTCAAATGACAGGCATTTGATGTACTAAATCTATTATGGCCTTTTCACTCGGGAACAGTTCTCTTATAGTGTTGTCTGGGGACAACACAGACAACACTATAAGAGAACTGTTCCCTCGGGAAAAGGCCATAATAGAATAATAGTGAGCGATAACCACTCATACTGACAATTCATGAAGTGGTATAGTGAGCGGCATCCCCCTCATACTGACACTTCATAAAGTGGTACAGTGAGCGGCAACCCCCTCATACTGACACTTCTTAAAGTGGTATAGTGAGGGGCAACCCCCTCATACTGACACTTCTTCAAGTGGTATAGTGAGCGGCAACCCCCTCATACTGACACCCCTTAAAGTGGTAGGGTGAGCGGCAACCCCCTCATACTGACACTCCTTAAAGAGGTAGGGTGAGCGGCAACCCCCTCATACTGACACTCCTTAAAGAGGTAGG